TGGGCCTCAGCCTCCTCCCTGCCTGTGAGATGAGGAACGAGGGCCTCACTCTGGGTCCACACTCCGGCTTCCAATTTGGTGCCTGTCCAAACTTAGGGTTCGGCTTCCTGTGCAGAGCACAGACATCTGGGGAGAGTTAGCAGTGTCTCTAGCTTGGCTCAGGGCGTCGTGGATTTGTAGATGGAAAAAAATAAAAACCCAGATGAAATGGCTGAAGATGTGGCAAGTGCTCATCCTGACTTCTGAATCCTGTGACAGGTCCTCGAGTTGGGGAGACAGCAATGGGATGCCAGTGCTGAGGGTCCAGCCAGAGCACCGTGCCCCAGGAACCCACACCGTGCTGAGGGGAGCCACGACTGCCCTCGATGAACTATACCAGGAGAAAGACAGCACAGCCAACACTCAAGCTCTTCTCCAACAGCCAGTGGAGGGGAGCGGGGGGAGGGGGCTGAGAATGGCTGTGTTGTGATGAGGGAGCTTGGCTGGTCCAGGAGGGTCTGGCCAGTTCTGGGCCATGAGCCTGGGGCATCAGGAAGGCCAGCGAAGGGGAGGGGAAGGACGGAGAGGTGCTCTGGGTGCTGCGGGTTTGTTGCGTATGGACCAAGGAGGGAGGCCAGGTGTGTGTTTCTTGTGCTGCTAAGGAGAAGGGAGAAAATGGCTGTGGCAGAAGGGGGGATTTTCCTCCACCCACAAAACCAGAGCCATGGCTCCCCTACTCCCTATATGTGAACCCCAAGGAAACCACTTGGGGGTGGACCAATCACTCTACCCTGAGTTCCAGACTCTGGCAACAGAGCAAGCCCTTGCTTCTGCCTCAGTGGCTGCTCCTGGAGCCAGGCAGGAGACCAGGCTGGACAGGGGGAGCTGGAGCAGAGGCTGCTCTGCACCATGCAGAAGGGCTGCCTTCCACTTCCACCACCCCTGGAGACCTGGTGTAAAGAAAACATTCAGGTCTGTTCTTGGAGCTTTGCTGAGCTTGCCCTCCATACTTGTCATTCCCAGTGAGATGTGTGTGGAAGTCAGACCCAGGGGAGGCCCAGCATGGGCCAGCCCACATGGCCATCTGATGTGTGTGTGTGTGTGTGCGCGTGCACGCACGTGCGCACATGCGAACACGCATGCATATGCATGTGCATGTGAGTGACAGAAACAGACAGAAGGACAGATAGACAGACATCTCCCAGCAGTTTTCCCTTCCTGCTGAGAAGTCACCAAAAGCAGCCCCCTGGGGCACATTTAGGGACATCTAGGTGTGGCTGGCGTCTTCCCCAGGCTCTGGCCATGGGCTCTGGGCTATGAGAAAGGAGGAGCTGCTGGGACTAAGAGCAGCCAGGGAGAGTAGGAAGGAGACTGCCCCCCCCCTGCTCTGCCGGGTCGGGGAGTCAGCCTCCACTGCCCAGGGCAGCCAGCTGGCCTTCCTGGATCACTTGCAACATCCAGGAAGCACCCTTGAACCTGGCCCCGGGCTCCACTCCAGAGGCTATGCTTGAAGTGGCCAGGTACCGCAGACGCCCTCTTCAGAGTTCATTCCAACCGTGGATCCAGTTCTCGGCAAGTCTGCAAATATTTGCATTCAAGGCCAGGCCAAAATACATACGTTGAAGTCATAGAGACAAATAACACAGAGTCCCCGGTCCAAGAGTGCAGAGAACAAGCACAGGCAAATAACAGCAACGTCATATCTAACGCTTCCTCGTGTATTCAAAACATGTTTGCTCTGATGTGGTGGTCACTGGCCCTGGGTACGAGGTGGAAATGGTTGAACCAAGGAAGAAAAGCAAGGACTAACAGCTGTGTCTGAGTGCTGGAGCCCGCCATTCCTGTCCATATCCACCCCACGTCACGCACGGTGATGGAAGGTAGGGCCTTTGGAAATGGTTAGGGCATGAGGCTGGAGGCTTGAGCGTGGGATTCGTGCCTTTCTGGGCATCAACCCTGCAGCCCTTTCCCTCTTGCTCCACGTGAGCTCACAGTAGGAAGAGGCTGCCTGTGAGGCAGGCCCTTCGCTGCAGACTTCTCAGAACTGTGAGTAGCCAGTGGCTTTTGTTGACCACTTGAGCCAAACCACCAGCCCAAATGTGGGGCATTTTGTGATAGCAGCTGGATAGACTGACAACACTAACCATACCCTGGTGGGACAATAGTGAGAACTTTGAGGCAGGGACACATGGAGGCACTTCTGAGGAGGTAACATGTAAGCTTCCGCCTGGAGGAGAAGTGGGAATTCCAGGGGAAGGCAGGGAATGGTTTGTGCAAAGGCCCTTGGGCAAGAGGAAAGTTCTAGGAAGCTCCAAGAGCCTCACAGTGCTAGGGAAAAAGAAGAGGGAGCTATGAAATGGGGTCCGATGTGGGCCAGGCAGGGAGAGGGCGCACACAAGGAGAGGTTTGCTTGTGTACCTGCACAGTGGCGCCCTTGAGGGGAGGAGCTGCGGACAATGCTCACAGAGGCCATCCGCTGGCTGTGACTGAGGAAAGCCAGCCATGATGGGCCCGTTCCGCAGGTGGCTGAGATGGAGGCCCCTGCGTGCTGCACAGGGCACCAGGATGTGGCTAGAGCTGGAGTCATGGGCCAGGGACTAGAAGCTGCCAGATAAAAGCAGTTTAGGTGGGAGGTCACTGCAGGGGGGAGCCAGAAGCGCGTGTGCTGATGGGAACACCTCTGTCTCAGGGAGCACTGGACAGGCCCAGTAGCCCCACGGGGCTACAGGCAGGCTCCCAGCTCTCCCTGCACACCGCTGCCTGGCACTCTTTGCCCCTACCTCTGCCCACTCAGCACACAGCCTGGTTGGCATGAACAGTCCTCATGGGGGTGGTGTCTGGAGGTCCTTGAGGGGCAGGGCTGGGATCATCATTCCCACTCCCCTGCCCAGGAGGATGCTGGGGGAAGGGTCTGCAAGTGGCCCAGCCTCCTAAGGCCGCACAAGGGGGACAGTGGGGATGGGGACTGGACGAACGGCTGCAGGCAGTCATCAGGGGCAGTGGCTGTGGCGGCTGCTCTAATAGTGGTAACACTAACACCTGTTACACCAATTCCAGTAGAGTTTAGGAACCTTCACCTTGTACCTGGGAAGCCCACCAACACGTCCCTGAAGGGGTCCATCCCGGTACCCATCTGGTGCTTTCCCATGTGTGCAATCATAATGGATAAGCACAGTTTCACCTCTTGGGTTAAAAAAAAATGTCAGGCTGGGAAGGTGGCTCAGTGGTACAGTACTTGCCTCGCATGCATGAAGCCCTGGGTTCCATTCCTCAGTACCATATACACAGAAAAAGCCGGAAGTGGTGCTGTAGCTCAAGTGGTTGAGTGCTAGCCTTGAGCTGAAGAGCTGAGAGACAGTGCCCAGGCCAGAGTTCAGGCCCCATGACTGAAATAAACAATGTCTATTATGCTTCCTTCTCCTTGGCTCCCTTTTTCCTAATTTGTGGAGCACATTTCTTACCCAGAAACTGCCCTGAAACAAATACCTGATGAGTGACTGGCTCACGGGACCCAGGAATACCTGCTGGACGAGGGGCTGGCCAGTCGTGGCTTAAAAGGAACTTGGAGCACTGCTTTCAGCTCAGTCACCCAGGGGCCTGGGGCACAGAGAAGCCATGGCTGATGAAGGGCAGGCAGGAGGCTGGCATGTTCTAGAGACCTGGGCCACTACAGCAGGTCCCAAACCCAGGCTCCAGAGAGTGCAATGCATTGGCACACATGAAGCAGACATCCAGCCTCCCAGACTATCTATTTCCAAAGCTGGTGTGGAACTAATTCCAATGGTCTCAGTCTTGGCAGAAGACTAGGGAAAGAAGGAAGAGATCGTCCACTCTGAGAAGTCAGTGAGAGTTTGATTCCTTTGGCCCGGGCTACAGCCTAGCAGTCTGGTTAATTACTAATTGCTAATTAATGATTTATAAGTATTTCTAGGAAGCACTGTCTGAAAGAAATACATATGGAAATATATGGAAAGAGTAAACATAGAAGTCTAAAGGCAATAAAGAATCTTCCCCCAAAGAGGTGAGGAGGTGGGATGGGGGTGGGTACCTGCCTGTAATTAGGAGGTACAGAACTGGAGGATAACCTGAGGGGAAAAACGTTCACAAGACCCCATCTCAATCCATGAAGAGAGCCAGGCACAGTGGCTCCTACCTCTCTTCCCAGCTATAAATAGGAGGATCAAAGTCCAGTCTGTCCCGGCAAAAAGCAAGCACTTATTTGAAAAATTATGAACATGAAAAGGGTGTGGCTCAAGAGTTAAACACCTGCCTGGTAAATGCCAGACTCTGAATTCGAATCCCAGGGCTGCAAATAAATACATAAATAAATATCCTCCTCGGGTCTCCAGTTCAGTAGTGGTGAGCAGCCTCTACCCAAGAGTCGTGCTTGACTATTCATCTGGCTGATTGTCAAGATCCACGGACCTCAGCACAGAGCCAACCCTCTGCTCCTCTCTCTAAGCCTGAGGGAGCAGTCCCACAGGGCAGTGGTGAGGGTTGGAGTTCCCGCGCAGAGACAAAGCATGGTGAAAGGCCCAAGTCAGCTTCCAGCAATGTGAGACTGAACTCTTCCACCTCCAGAGAAAGTGGACAGACTTCCGGCTACGCACCCTTCCTCTTGGGACCCTGGTTAGTTCTCAAAATAGTATTGTAAAAGACTGCCCACGGTCTGGTTTTCTGCCTCCCCGTGTAGCTCTTTCCTCTAGAACCCATGCCTGCTGTGGCACTGGGCGCTGCATTCCAACATCGCCATCGCCAGGAAGCGTCCAGCCTCCCCCTCTCCCCCCCCCCCCCCCCGCACTTGGAGCTTAGTCAGCTTCTTTACTGAGGACTCAGCCTCAGGTATTTTGTCATGGACCATAAAGTCAGGAAGTTCCAGTGGGAAAAGCAATGCAGAGAGACGTGTTTGTATTTTCTGATTGTTTTTCTGACTTGAGGGGCGGGAGGGAGGGTAGGGAGATGGGCTAGAGGACTGTGGATTTTCAAACTCCAAGGAAAACAGAGACATAGGTAGGACTCACCACACCTTGGTCATGGGATTCACTGGCGATCCTTACCGAGAGGGGGCTGACGGCCATGAGGACATCTGTGTGGACAAAGAAAGGGGACAGACCTGAACAGACCATGCTGGACCCAGCTGCTTCTGGGTTTTTCTCCAACCCAGACAGCAGTCGGAGAAAGACTGTGTGGCCTGCCTTCGTCAAAGGCTCAAAATAGTCAAGATCTGTCTAAGAAAGTCAGTATCAGGCGCATTCTTTCATACCTGCCTGAAGCCCGTGCGGCATGTGAGGGCGGCACAGAGCCCTGCCTCCCACGTCCTGAGCGCTTTCTCAGCCCTGTGCTCACCATGATTGGGCATGATAGCGATCGACCCAGAACCCAGGCTGCACATTAGAATCGCCCAGGGAGTTTCTTCAAAAGCATCCCAGCCAGGCCACCCCCACCAGACCCTCACTTAATGGGTCTGGGGTGCGGTCTGAGCATAGGTGTTACTTCAAAGCCCTGGAAGTGAATCTGCTGGTGGCCAGAGTTGAGAAGAGTTTCCAGAGAGGCATGGAACTCAAGACCTGAGGACATGGCCCCACAGAGAGCTCCCTGACCTCTGGTGGGCCTGCCAAGGGCAGGACCAAGGCCATGGGACGCGGTGGAACTCACGGGAGTCTTGACAGTGGAAGGGTGGGTGGCTCCTCACAGCCCCTGCCACTCTCTGCCAGGCTTCTGCTGGGGTCTAGGTTGGCTGGAACACAAGCAAGGCCCATGGCAATTAGGAGCTCAGGGCAAAGACGCCGGTCCACCTTGAGAGTCAAGAATCAGCAAAGAGAAGAGAATCACCCGGAGGCGGGCAGTGAGCTGTCTACGTTCACTGGTTAGGTGGGTGCTTCTAGAACCTTCCAAGATGTCCCACAGGCAGCTGCTCTACCTCAAGCTGAGTGACTGGCTGGTGTGGGGTGAGGCCCTGCTTCAGCCCTACTGCTTCCTGTCCCCCAGGGAGCTGGGTACCTACAGGGACACAGCTCGGATGGGATTACACCACGGCAGGGGGCTTGTCAGGACCTCTGAGAAAAATCACGAAGAAGCTGGGTGCTGGTGGCTCACGCCTGTAATCCTAGCTACTCAGGAGGCAGAGATCTGAGGATCATGATTCAAAGCCAGCCCGGGCAGGAAAGCCTGTGGAACTCTTGTTTTGTTTTTGGTTTTTTTTTGGGGGGGGGTCCGGTCATGGGGCCTGAACTCTGAGCCTGAGCGCTGTCCCTCAGCTCTTAAGCTCAAGGCTAGCGCTCTACCACTTGAGCCACAGCGCCACTTCCGGCTTTTTTCTTTTTGCTTATGTGGTGCTGAGGAATCGAACCCAGAGCCTCAGGCATGCAAAGCAAGCTCTCTACCACTGAGTCACCTTCCCAGCCCCAAGTCTGTGGAACTCTCATCTCCAATAAACCACCAGAAAACTGGAAGTGGTGCTGTGGCTCAAGTGGTAGAGTGCTAGCCTTGAGCTGAGGAGCTGAGGAACAGCGCCCAGGCCCAGAGTTCAAGCCCCACGACCGACAAAAAAAAAGAAAGAAAGAAAAAGCTCAAAGAGGAGGAAGTCATAAGCTCTGTAGCTCGAGGCCCCAGCTGGGTGTAGGATAGGTGTGTGGGTTGGGGTAGTCCTAACCTGTCACATAGGGGGCACCTGGGGAACATGAGAGATTGGGCTCTGCTGGCAGGTCAAGGTTTTCAGGCCACACACAGCAGAGCCAGGAGCAGAGAGTGCACCATCTTGGAAGAAAGAGAAGGAAAGAAGCTGCAGGAACACGCCAGGTCCTGCTCTGCAGTTAGGGCTGGGCAATAAATGCACTGCAGGGGGCTCACCCCCAACCCCTCCTCTTGGCATCTTCTTCCTTCTTTCAAAAACAGAGTCTTAGCAGGCGCTGGTGCTGGTGTCTCCTGCTTAGAATCCTAGCTGCTCTGGAGGCTGATCTGAGGATCATGGTTCAAAGCCAGCCTGGGCAGGAAAGTCTGTGAGACTCTTATCTCCAATTAAACACCAGAGAATGGGAAGTGGAGCTGTGGCTCAAGTGGTAGAGTGCTGGCCTTGAGCAAAAAGTGAAGAGACAGTTCTCTGGCTCTGAGTTTAAACCCCAGACCAGTACCAAAAAGAAAGCCTCAAAAACAAACAACAAAGTCATGGAAAATCCACTGAGTATTAGCTATTTTTAGAATTTGTACTTATCTAATCTATACTAAGTACTTGAAGCCTACTGTGATTCTGTGTACATTTGGTGGTAAATAATGACATATAATCTCAGCATCACACAGCACAGGACATACCTGCAGCTCAATTACTCAGGCTTGATGGCTTCAGATGAAACAATGTAACGTAAGTTTGCATATATTCTCCAGGTTATTGCAGAGAGAGAGAGAGAGAGAAGAGAGAGAGAGAACCTAATTTGGTACGTTTGAAGTATCTAACAGTGATGATTTTAAATCACAGTCGATTGCCCAGCTCCTTACTTGAATAAAATTCAGGTATCATTTAGTTCACAAAGATAATTTGACCTGAAGATTTACAGCCGAAGCAATCTTCCTCACTGTCCCACAGCCCTGCTTCTATCTTATCGTTCCTCAGACCCACCGGGCTGCGCTTCAAGATGATGAATCAAGAATAAAATAGGATGGAAATAGCTGCGATATTAGAAAGATGCACTGGGAATCTTTGCAAATGAGGAAGAATGCATTAGACACTTCCCAGAATCCCCAAAGAGGGGAGGGAGGCTGTATGTGGAGGATGTGGGGCCCAGGGGCCCAGGGGTGATGCCTGGCCCTGCGTGGAGCAGAAGCAGCCGCAGCTCCCATAAAGAACAGAGACCATTGCCCCTGTCCTCACATGGAGGCAGGGATGACGGGGCCTCGGAACCCCTAGCACTGCAGGGAGATGAACAGGAAGTGGGAGGTGGAGACCTCAGGGGAGGTGGCCAGGCTGGGTGGACACTGGCCCTCTGTCTGCAGGCTGTGCCACCCTAGTCATCCAGTGAGCCCCTGAGCACCCCCAGAGGACAGTCAATTCAGGACAGGAACATCGGAACAAACAAGGCAGCGTCCCTATGCCCAGGGAAGACCGCTGGGCACCTATAGGAATAGAGAAAAAGCACATCCTGGACAGAGCTTCCTTCCAGCCGAGCCCCCTCCCTCGCTCCCATGGCTCCCACAAGCCATGCCACGGACACCTACCCACAGCAGAGGGGTGCTAACGGGAGCGCTCTGGACACAGAACCAAATGAAACCCATCTTAACAGGTACCAGGAGGGTCCTCACAAGAAGGCAGCATCTGATGGGATGGGGGGCGGTAAGGGGGCTGCAGGCAGAGGGACTGGTATTTCCAGGAGGAAAAGTTTTTAAGGGAAACTTCCAGACGCCCTGTCTTAATCCACAAGGAACAAATCTGGATGATGGACTTTGTAGAAGTCATCGGGGCTGGGGCCTGTCCGGATCCAAGCTCCCCAACGGCTCCCAGGAAGCTAGCTCCGAGCTCTGAGGACAGCACCATGTGTCACCGTCCTGGGGCCTGGCCGCAGGGCTCTGTGATGGGGGCCGAGGGCTGAGCCTCCCTTCTGCCCCATGTAAGCCCACAAGCTCTCCACACATCTATCTGTGTCCCTGGGTTTCCTCAGTTCTGGGCAAGGATGGCACAGTGAGCCCCAGAGTGATCACCAGAAATGGACTAAAACTGCAGCACAGCAATGTTTCACAGCCCTGACTATGTTTTTCTCTCTCACATAGTCTCTCTCAAAAAGACCTCAGGCCTTGACTGGAGTATGTGTACGAACCCTGCGATTATATATAAATGAATATAGAGAGGAATGTAAGGGTTAAACATGGTTGATGACATTTTTAAAAATCACATCACAACTTTTAATTAAGGTGAGAGTTTATGATAAATAAGTGACTAGTATGAACTCTTAATATATAAATAAGACCCTGTTATGGTTTTTGTTTCTGGTGTACGTGGGAGTGTATGTATGCTGGTGCTGGGACTTGAACTCAGGGCCTCATGATCATCCTTGGGTTTTTTACTCAAGGCTGGTGCTCTACCCCTTGAGCCACAGCTCTACTTCTGGCTTTTCACTGGTTAATTAGAGATAAGAGTCTCATGGGCTTTTCTACTTGGGCTGGCTTTGAACTGTGATCTTTGGGTCTTAGCCTCCTGAGTAGTAAGGATTACAGGGGTGAGCCACCCCTGGGCAAGATTGGTTTTGAAAAGCAACCACCACTCCGCCTACCCTAAGACGTTATTGGAGTCTGAGTTTCCAGCCCTGGTCTCTTGTGTGCAAGAAGCACAGAGAGCTGTGGTCTGAGTCTGTTTTCCCAGCCGCGCTCTTGGCAAACATCAGAGCAGAACATACAACAATGAAATTGGCCCCTGAGCTGGCCCAGAACATCAAATTGGCCTGAAATGAAGAGTATTTTCAGCCACACAGAAACTTGGCCTTTATTCTTCTTGGTTGTGAATCTGGCACTTCTTAGGATTGGTAAATAAACTTTTTTTTTTTTAAGGCCAAACAAACTATAAGGAAATCCTGCATTTTGAAACAAAAGGCAGAGAAGCTAAGTCAAGTTCTCTTCCATCTTTGTCTCCTTTGCCAGGCTGGGCACTGTCGTCTTGGGAGAAGGGTAACAAGAACGAGGTCGTAATTGCTGGGAGAAAACTACAGGGTCCGTGAGAACAGGACAGAAAATACCTTGTGCACTGTGTGCTTTTAGCTCCGCCAGGAAAAGAAATCAAAAGAGCAACTGGATCTTGAACTTGACAAAGAACTGGGTGCCAGGGGAGGAGGAAACAGACACCAGGATGAAGGGAATCGGTTCAGGAAAAACACAAGGGCTGAGGGAATTTAAAAAAAAGAAAAGAAAAGAAGAGAAAAGGCAGAATGATGTCATGCCAGCCAAAGGAGCAAAGGGGAAGAGGGCGTGTTTTTATAAACATGTTTTGTTCAGGGGGAGGAATGTGGGAGAAGAGAAAGTCGACCGTTAAGGAAAAAGCAGGGAGTTGGAAACCTAATGTCTCTGAATGAGCTGAGCTTTTAAACTGCTTTAAAAAAAATTATCTTACATGAGAAAAATGCAGACCAGAGGCAGGGACAGGGGAAAGGCTGAGGACAGGCATGAGGAGGGATTGACGAGGGAGGGGTCAGAGCTCTTTTGAAGAAACTGAAACTATGCAAACCAGAGCTCAAAAAGCACAGCAGCCCAGGGCCATTCGGTAGAACTATGAGAAGAGTTTGTAAATGAGACCTGCACATCATTATTGACATATTGTTGTTGTTGTTGTTGCTGCTATTTTCGCAGTACTTGGGACACTGCACTTGCTTAGCAAGTGCTCCA